TGCCAGCAGCAGCAACGGCAGCAGCAGCAACGACAGCAGCAGCAGCGGCAGCAGCAGCAGCGGCGGCAGCGGCAGCAGCGGCAGCAGCAGCCCCAAGTGTGAAGCAGACATATATCCCAGATAAACATCTACGGGCTTACCGGTCTTGTGCGCGTGTGTCAGGTGTGCCGCTGCTGCTGCTCCTTTTGGTGCTGCCGTTGTTGCTGCTGCAGTTGTTGCTTATGCTGCTGTTGATATTGCTGTTGTTGCTGCAGTTCAGCCTGTTTGCTGCTGGCTGTCGGTCTGTTGTCTTCCCAACAGCAACAGCAGCAGCTGCTGCTGCTGCTGCAACGGCTGCTCTTTAGGTCGATTAGAAGGCGAGGTAGAAGCAAAAAGAGAAAATATAAAATTGATTTGTTGTTCAATTTATTTATCTTCTTGTATTTCGCTGTCTGCTGCAGCGCGTGAGACACCGGCGGCCTTCTCTCTGGCTTGCGGCCCCTCCCACTGACTCGGGCGATGCACCAGGAAAAAAAGCAAAAATAAAAAAGAAAAAACAAATATAATCTTAAATCATTGAATTTAAACTCAACAAAGCACTCTGTAGATTATAAAAAGGAAAGAATACAAGATATGCATGCATCCGTGCATTGCCTTCTTTCCTTCGCTGGCCGGTTTCTCAAAGTTCTGTGGGGCCCCGTGCAGTGTTGCAGTGATATTTAAATTATATTATAATAAAAAGAAATAAAATAATGAATATATTCTCTCCATACATTGAAGATATCAGGTAGAACTATATATATGTGAAAAAACAAGACGTGGTGGGAATCGATCCCGCACGGGCAATAAAAGAAGCACCACTTTGCTGCAACAACGGCAGTAGAAGACCAAGGGATACACGCAGCAGCAAGCTAGTTAACAGCACGCATTTGTAGTTGTTAGAACAAACGCGGGTGTAGGCCCGCGGGAAGGCCGGGACAGGACAGAAGACACACTGAGGGAACTGCAAGACAGCTCAAGGCAGATGCAGAGATTCAAATCACAGACAAACGTATACGTAACGAGGGAGAGGAGGCAAGAAGAGAGACAATTCCAAAGGGGTAGACGCACATCGGAAAGAAGAACTGCAGGACACAGAAGCAGAGCCGGGAAGACATGGTGGGAGACAGACACAGGGGACGGCTAACTGAAGAAGTGCGGCTGGAAACAGACACGCGAGCTGCACTGCAAAAGAAGCAGAGAAGGATTGACAGATGAATTAGCCAGACGGAAAGAGCAGAGACGGGCAGGAAGAGATAAAGATACATGCAAAGAAGGGCTGTACAGATAAACGGGCTTACAGGAACACAAACGCATCTGTCTTAGACCAAACGGTGGCCTAGCGCTCCCCTTGCAGAGTTGAACCTTCATCCCTAGTGATGTCGATGCATGGTCTGCATGAAGTTGGTACGCTTGTTTCAACGTGCGAGCCGGTTAGATACTGCGGGAGGATAGAAACAATTGCTTGCACTGCTAGTGCGTGCATCCATGCGGTGTTCGGGTACGGTCGCTCATAGGGTTATCCTGAACCAGGTGCTGCAGCATCTCCTCTCCGAGCCACCCCCAGAACCTGGTGTCTCTGTGCCCAGAATCCCTGGAGATTGGTGGGAAGGTCATCTTCTTACCACGACGATTCTCTGGTGGCATCGAAAAATCTCGTTGAAAAAAAAGCTACTGCTGTGGAACATTGAGGCGAACGCTTTCAAACACGCATCTTGAGTATAACAACTAAGGGGAGTTGGGTCCCAGTGGATATCAGGGCCCTCAGAAAATGGGCCTCCTTCTCACCAGCGGCAATTCAAAACGGTAGCCAGTTGCGCTCTTTTCAACACATTAATCTAAGAGATTTGTGGCCCAAACGGCAACCCAATCGCGAAATATCTCTTGCTGATGAGGTCAAGTAAGTTCCCGAGCCTCCTCACACGATGGAATGACATAGGATTGGAACCGTGAGACGGAGGGCAGGCGAGGAGTGCTGCTGGCGAGTGAGCCCGCAGTCTTTCTGTACAGTTCAAGTGCATTTGCTTTATAAATCCACCTTCCGTAACCAAAAATCTTCCTCAAAAGCCGCCGGCTTCTTGTAAGTCCCCATGGGGCACACCCCTAGGTCCCACTGCTCATCAAGACAATCTCGCCAGGTATCTGAACGCAAGCGATTTCAGGTTTGAAACAGTCTAGGGCTCATGAAAAACGAACTGTTATGCTGAAGGCGAGCCTGCAACTTGGCAGAAGCACACAGAACCTCGTGACTTTCTTTCAGTCGGCGTCTTTGATACATCTGACAGCCGCCGAAATCCGCGTTTTCTATGCTTCCTACTGACAGTCACGAACTCTACTGACCACAGACTTATATTTTCTTTCCAGTATAGTCTGCACACTACCTATTTCCCATATGCACTCAATGTAGCACTTTTGAAAAATGGTGAAGTAGATATCCCCGGGGAAGAAATAAAAAAATTGTTCAAGGCGCCGCATTCACATTTATTGCATCGTACTATAGTACCGCTGCGGCAAAAGTTTGAGTCAATCACCCTTCGCTGGATGCTCCGCTGCATTGTGTCGAGGTAGCTGAGGTACTCTTGGCCCTCTGTCCAAATGAAGAAAACTTCCTTAATTTGTCTAGCAGAGACTGTCAACAGCCAGTTCTCACCAGGCTGTCACTTGGTAACACCCATATCAGCATTTCCATGGAAGGCCAAGGGAGATACGTGCAGCAACCCAGAAAGTGAAGTAGGTTAGAGACAGACTAGATGGGCACAGTATTTTGCGTCAATTATTTGATGTCGGAAGTGCTGTATTGTACCCCGTTTTCGACCTCTCTAGCGTGTACCCGATGGATCTGTGTTTCACAGGATGCTGGCCTCCGCGCCGTCGCGTCGATAGCTCAGTTGGGAGAGCGTTAGACTGAAGATCTAAAGGTCCCTGGTTCGATCCCGGGTCGACGCGTTTTCTTTCCCTTCAGGAATACTTCTAACGTAGAATAAAGTAAGGCGCATCAACGACATCTCATCAGATTCTGCACTGAACACCGGGATCGACTAGATGAGTGTATTTCTCTCTTGTGTCATCTCTTAGTGTTATGCGCTTTCGTTCTATGAGCACTTTTGTGCGTACTTCTGCGCATATTTGCTCTTGCCCTGCCAATTTCGCTGTGCATTCTTCTGGAGCGCTGCGCGCTTGTCTGCCCATCTTCCCCTTCGCGCTTCCCTACCTGGTACTTCCACATGCGTCTAGCGGTGACAATGCGTAGTGATAAACAATTCGTTTAAATTTGAAATTCGGTGCCAGTGACATGGTCGGAAAGGAAAGCATGTTCTGAACCATCTTAGCATGCAAGGGCTAGTTTTGGCCGGACTTAGGTCATGGCGTAGAGTACCTGTTGTCCACTATCTTTGCTATTTCTACTGCGCACCCCAAAGTCCCATGCGTCTTATGGTCCTGAGAGGAGCCACGAGACTGCGCGCCGTTGCGTCGATAGCTCAGTTGGGAGAGCGTTAGACTGAAGATCTAAAGGTCCCTGGTTCGATCCCGGGTCGACGCGTTTTCTTTCCCTTCAGGAATACTTCTAACGTAGAATAAAGTAAGGCGGATCAACGACATCTCATCAGATTCTGCACTGAACACCGAGATCGACTAGATGAGCGTATTTCTCTCTTGTGTCATCTCTTAGTGTTATGCGCTTTCGTTCTATGAGCACTTTTGA